GCACACTGCACATTTCTCTGGGTGGGAAAGAGAGACCAGCCAAGGCATTTATAACCCAATACCACTGTGCTGTTAGGAGCCAGCTCACAATGCTGTGGAACACACAGCCCAGTCCTGTAAGTTGTCTAAGAAACTGGAGGGAGAGCAGGAGCTCAGCAGGTGATGGGGGCAGAAGAGCATGTTGGGGGGAGGGCTGTGTGCCCTCCCCAAGGATGATTACTTAGAAGGAGCAGCATATACAGTAAGTATTTGTAGGATAGAGAAAGGATGTGATGAGCACATCCCACAGCAGGAAGACCAGTGGCCATCCCAGCTGTGCTACTCAGCTTTCCATTAATGTGGCAAAATACTAGAGATAACCAAGTTAATATGGAGAAAAGGTTTATTTTAGGCTCACGGTTTTAGGGATTTCAGTCCATGTTCAACTGACCTATTCATTACTTTTGAGTCTGTAATGAGATCAAGCATCATGGCAAAAGTGTATGGAAAAGGAAATTGCTTGCTTAATGGCTACCAGGAGGCAAAGAGAGAGAGAGAGGAAGAAGACGGTCGGCCTCAATATCCGCTTCCAAGGCACAATCTCAGTGACCTAACTTCTGCCAATTAGACTCTACTTCTTAAAGGTTTAAACACCTCTGAATACCACCTTGGGTTAGGGACCAAGCTTTAACATGTAAGGACATGTTACATGAAGGGACATTCGATAACCAAACTACAGCAGTGACCATCTAGGTTATAGGTAATGGTGCAGTGGATTGGACAGTGGCTCTCGGAAAGGAGAACCATGAAAGGATTTGAGGTGTGCTCAGAGGTCAATGTATGGCATTTGGTGACAGATCTGATGAGAAAGCTGGTGGAGAAAGTAGATGGGACAACTGGAAGATTTCCAACCCTAGAAAACAAAGGGGTGACAAGGCACCTTCCTCCTCCAGGATTTGGCTTGTGGCAAGGCACCTCTGAAAGTTGCACACCAGAACCCAAAGACACCCACTCCCCAGCCACCTATTTTTGTCTTGAGTCTGCTCTTCCAATTCTGGCTGGGGCTGAGAAAGGAGGGGGAAGAGGGCACAGCACCCTGATACCGAGGTGTGTTTTTATCATCACATTAATGATCCCCTAATTAATACTGGGAGACTGTGCCTGCCATTTCACTATTTTCACTCTGCTGATTTGCCCCTTGGGACAAAAGGAAATTGGAATTAAGAGGAGACAATAGAATTGCTGGCAGGATTATTAGCTTCAATGAAGTTAATGAAGAGCGTGGGAGGGAGGAGTGGAGAGCCTCAGGGGCCTGTGACTCAGGCTGGGAGCCCCAGGAAGGAAGAGCTGCTGGAGGGAGACCACAGCGGGAAGGACTCTCTGCCCTTCTGAGTCCCAAGGTACTGGTAAGCATCAAGATGGGGGCTCTATGGGAGGCAGAGGAAGAGTCCAGCTGCATGCCCCTGGAGGGACAAATGAAGTAGCTTCCTGTTTCCAACATAAGCCCAACGGGTACTCCAGCTACTCTCGGGGAGGTATCAAGTTCCACTCAGGCTTCTATCCTGGGTACCTGCCTATAGCCCAGGTACCTCAAGCTCAAAGGATACAACCTGGATGGACAAATCAAAGATATTTAGAACCCAAGACAACAGCAGAGAAGCAACATTTAGGTCACAGCATATTTGTATATGTGTACATGCACACACACACATACACACTTGCAAATAAACAAAGGCTTTCCCTCCAAGCCCATACAGCCAACCTACCCCATATGCACATAGACCCAAGCTTGAAAACACATATGCATCACCAAGTTAATCCTCAGTCTGTCCTTTGCATACCCATCCATAGGCCAGCTCCCCTTCCCTGTGGCCTCAGGCCAGGTTTGCTGACCCAGCCATCCAGCTGAGGCCCACGCCTCCCTGCTGTTGGTATCACTAGTCCACTTGGGGAGAAGGTGAGAGGGGTCAAAGGTCACTCAGCAGGGTTATCAGGACAATGAGGCTCTGCTCTATACAGCCAGTGTGCCTTCCCTTCCCCTAGAAATGAGGAGCCAGGGTATTCTGAAAACACGATACAGTCTCATTTCCAAGGTGGGTTTTTTCCTTCATGAGTCACTAGATTAGCACCTTTCCAATTACTGGGAGGCAAAAACCCTATTATCATAGAAGAAACCCTCCTGCAGAATGACGGCTCTATTCTTTTTGACGGCAGCAGCCAGTCCCACAGAGAGCTGCAGAGCTCAGCAAGCTGGGAGCCTAGTGTTCCAGGTAACTTCATGTCCTTATTTCAAAAGTGAACTTTAAAGAACTCTCATCACAGCCTCAGAAGCACATCACACACTCCATAAGATATACCAGGACAGCACAGATGGGGAGCCTGAGGAACAGCAGGGGAGCACATCCTAAAACCTGCACACAAAATCCATGATGCCTCATGTTCCCCCACAGAAGTCCTCAGCATGGAAGGTTGTCTGAGCAGAGGGACAACTGTGTGCCACAGAGGGTTCAAGGCTCTGTAATATTCTGGGAAGAGTCACTGAAGAACCTTCTGAGAAGGCGTGTGGGATCTAATTAGCTGGCCTCACAGGCAGGTCATCCCGTACAGACTGACTCAGATGAACAGGTGGAGGTGCCAGACCTCAGTCAGGTTCTAGGGCTGGCATCTAATCTCAGTGATCCTCACCTTGGGCCTTGCACTGAGCAGCAACCTGGACCTGAAATCACCATTTCCCTGCTACATGACAATGATCCACAGAGGCCGCTTTCTTGAGTTTTCACTTCCTCAACTGTAAATGGAGGAGGATGTCATACACTCCCTCCCACCAATACTCTTCTTGGTGGACGTTACATCTGGATCCAGTCACACTTCCAGCTTTGTGCAGCCTGTGGCGTCAGGGGTGGATGGACCTCTCAGTTGAGCAGAGATCCTCACTCCTTCGCCGATATCCTGATGCTTACCCTCCTGCCATGATCTACCTCAAACCTCACAAATAGCTTAACAAACATACCTTGCTGGTTTTGTGCCATGTATCACACCAGGTACCAGGTAAATTAGATAAATAATAGTAACAATAGGTACTCTCTGTTAAGCCCTACCCATAGATTGGATCATGATCTCCTCTCATCATCTTGGAAGGGAATGTTATTATATCTTACCAATGAGTCTTAGAAGAAGAAGAAATGAGCCTTAGAAGTTTAAGTAATTTGATAATTAGGATTCAAACTCAGAGTCTGAATCAAAATCTGTACTTTTATCTCCAAGACATATCACCTTCCAATGTGTTAGTTGTATATGAGGTCCTTCAACGATCTCAGATTCTCAGGTGTCTGATGATGGAGCCTTCCTCAGGCTTCTTCTAATCTCTTCAAGCTATAGGTTAGCAATGTAGCTTGACCTGTCCATAACCCTCCAGGGAGTAAGGCAGTTAGGGCATCATGAGCTCCTCCCAGGGACACTCAGTGTCACCCAGTGTACATGCTTTGTGTAGGAAGGAGTATCTGTATTGAGAGACATAGAAAGCTTGTTTGCTCCTTTGTCCCCTTTAGTCCCTCCATCCCAGGGTTGGAAAGAGGTACAAGGTCAGCTCAAAGAAAACAGAAGATAATGTGGGGACAGCCTGGGCCAAGTCATACTAAGAGCCAGAAGAACTGGGAGGGTCATAGGCTATAGGTCCTGCTTTCTTCTACTTTCTTCCATTTTATGTATTCTAGGGGGGATTTTAGTAGCAGGTCATAATGCAATGTTATCCTTTTGTTTGGGGGCTTGGTATTTGCTTTTTAGTGATTTTCTTTTTCATGAATAACTGAATTCTGTTCTGGAACCAGAAAGCCCTGCCTGTTCCTTGTCACTGATGCCTTTGCATACTTTGTCCAGGTTTCTTATCAATTCCAAGCCACTGAGCCTGTGTCTCACTGGTTTGCTGTTCCCAAGCAGTACAATCCTCACTACCCTCTAACGCTGTCAGAGTTCCACAAGGGGAAACTAAGCTACCAGAAAGAAATCAATTTTTTAAATCTCTGTGTGTGTTAGGCAAATACTCTAATACTGAACTAAACTTCTAGCACTATTTTTTTTTAATTTTTATATAGTATCTCAGTCCTGAAACTCTTTCTCTTTCCAGAGAAACAAAGAAGGCCCCCCTCCAGGATACAATTATGACCACGGCTTTCAACATTTCTCAAAGCTAGTTTTCTCTCAAGCAAAAAGATCATTTATTAGTGGTGATATTCAACTCCTTTTTACACATAGTCCAGCTCCATCAAAGAAATTGGAAATCGCAGCAGTGCTTACCACATTAATTAAATGTCTTGGGTATTTTTTAAACTACATTTTCTATAGCTCAGTGGATGTCAATGGCATAATTAGAATTAGTTGCATTATTTAATTAGTTAGAACATTTAATACTCTCCAACTATTCCTTTGAAGTCATTTGTACATAAGTATAACTATAATGAGGAATAAAATATCTAAATATTGCAGTACAAGTTTTTATTGTATTTCAACTGCCCTGTGGACTTATTTGCTTTATTCAAGAAAGTCTCTTATGATAAGTCTCTATCTCATCTTTTCAGCTGTTTTGTAAATCGTTAGTCAAATATCCTGCTATCAAGTTACTTGAAAGACTGTTGGATTGTCACTGAAGCCTGCAATGTCCAAGAAGCTGTCCTGGAGAGGACAGGTTACACAATCTATTCTGACTAAATTGGATTGTTTCCTCTTTCCACCATACCTGCTGTGAAGTACTAATTTTAATAATAATATGAAATAACTATGTACTGACAATTTACTACTTACCTGGAACTGTGCTGAGTGCTTTATATTCACTAATTTATTTCTTTCACCAACCCTGAGGGAAATTTTCCCAATTTTACTGATGAGAGATATGAACATAGAAACATTATGTAATTTGTCCTAAAATATCTAATAGCTAGTCTATCAGTTACTTCCTCATCACTGAGACAAAATACCCAACACTAACAACTTAAAGGAGAGTTTGATTTTGGCTCACAGTTTCAGATGTTTTAGTCCATGATCGGCTGGCTCCAAGGTGTAAACATCATGGCAGAGGAAAGTTGCTCAACTCACGGTAGCTAGGAAGCAGAGGAGTCTGGAACAAGAATATACCTTTTCAAGAATGCCTTCAATGACTTGTATCCTCCAGCCAAGCCCTGCCTGTGACCATAAGACTTTTAGTGGACATTTTATATCCAAGCCACAACAGCTAGTAAAGAGCAGAGCTGGAATTCAAACCCAGCTTTTTTCTTGTTTGTGACCTTCCATACTGTCTACCAATCTGTACTCCTAAGAAAGTCTATAAAGGGTAACAATGAGCCAGACTATGGTACTTCCTCATGAGTCCCAAGTCTTAATGATCATCACAAAGGTAGTTATCTAAAAAAGGTACTTTCATGGAAGGTACTCTCCAAGAAAATTATATGGAATCTGACTCTGATAAACATCTCCCTTATCAGACATCCTGGCCATTCTGGCCTTCTTTCCTTGTCCATCCACCAGTGAAATCCTAATGTTAGATTTTGGAATGGTCTTAAATATTCTGTAGTCTAACATCCTTATCCTGCATAGAAGAAAACTGTTTATTTAAGCTAACAGTTTAGTTAATCTTTGTATTAGTCAGCTTTCCATTACTGTGTCTAAATACCCAAGATAAATAACTTAAAAAAGAAAAAAAATTATTTTGGCTTATGGTACCAGAGGTTTCAGTTCCTGATCATTTGGCTCCATTGCTTTTGGCTTTGTGGCAGCATAGTGCATCATGGTAGGAGTGTGTGGCAGAGAGATTGCTCACCTCATGGCAGACAGGAAGCAAAGAGAAATTCAGAAAGAGACCTTGCACCTAGTATCCCCTTGAAGAGAATGTTCCCAGTGACCTAACTTCTTTATATTACACCCCACCTCATTGGGAGATCTCTAAGAAGCCTGGGCAGCGCAATACCTATGGCACAGGAAGTTCATATGTACCAAGTAAGCTCAGCTTTCACCAAATCTAAGGCTGAAATTTAGAGGATGTGACCTCAGAGAAGAGAAGACAATCAGGATGTCTAACAGAGATCACATCCCCATGTTGGGAATTTGTACCTTTTATGGGCCTAATTTTGTGCTTCTGAAATTCGTATGTCCTAAACTTTGGTACCTTATAATGTAACTATATTTTGATATAAAGCCTTTGAAAATGTAATTCAGTTAAAATCAGGATGGACCCTAATCTAATATGACCAGTGTCCATATAAAAAGAGGAGGTGAAGATCCAGAGGAAGGAATGAGACACACGGATATAAAGATGATCATCAGAGGAATACACAGCAAGAAAGTGAACATTTGCAAGAAAAGGAGAAAGGACTCAGAAGTGACCAAACCTACCAACACTTTGACCTTGAACTTCTAGCCTCCACAACTGTGAGAAAATAAATTTGTATCGTATAAGCCATTCATTAGCGCTGTTATGGTAGCCCATTATGACTAAGACTATCCTTTTCTGAGAAGGATTCACTGAAGGCATGACATGGTTAAGTGACTAGCTGGACTTACATATACACAGTCCAGATGTAGCTCATGATGTAGGTCCTTTATTTAGCTTTCACTACTCTTTATTGAGAAAGCTGCAGGGCTTCTGGTAGAGCCATATGGAGGTGGTGAGGGAAGAGCTAGAGAAAATAGAACACAGAAGGTCAGCCTTTCTATTTAAGGGGGTGCAGGGTCAGCTCCTAGGGGCTAAAATGACTTTTGCAGCAGGCAGACTGTCCATCCTCAGGCACTAGACATTGAACTAGGCTGATCCAGACTGTGTGAACCCCAGTCTATCTCATCTTGGCTCAGAGCAACTTGGAGTGTGACCCTGGCACAGCTAAAGGAGGACAGAGCCACAGCCTTGCATGATAACATACCTAAATCATCATCTGTCCTCTTTTACCTAATATTGCCTGTCACTCACCCTCATTTCCTCATCTACTAAAGGTAGCCATCCATCTTCTTAGCTTGACTGAGGGCAAGCACAGTCTCACTTCTTAAAGTGCTTCCAGAAATTTCCTAAAGTCTCTGTATGGTTGAAGATTGGTAAAGCTGTTGTGTTTTTACTCTCTGCAGGAAAATGTGGCTGGAAATCCCAGAAGAATGATAGCAAAAACATAAAGCAGTCAGAGAATGGACTTGCAGACTTGAGAGCTAAAGAGATTCCTCAGACCTTAAATGATGTTTGACCAAGGTTGTAGGGTCTAGGAAGTGACTCGGTGGGCAGAGCCAAGAGATTTCATCACCATTTAGTCTTCCTTTGCTCCCCACACAACAAAGCCCAGAGCTTTGTAGAAAGGCTAGAGATTTATCCAGATTATTCCCTGATTTTTAGGGAAAGGAATCACTCTGATGCCATGCTGCCTGTGATAACTGCCTCAGGTGAGATGTAGGAGAAAGAGGAGATTTGGGCCAGTGCCTGGCAGAAATAGAGGATGGAGTGCATAATAACGGGTGGTCCTAAAAGTTGGGTCCCATACCAGCTTGAGATGCAGTCATTATACAATACTATTCTCCATCTAAAAATTTAAGTAGGCTATCAAACAAAATCTTCAGAAGGGACAAGACAGAGAGGAGAGCAAATTAGAAAGAAGTTTGTTTCCTTGTATCCAGGCTAGGGACAACTTTTGGGAAGAAACAGAGATGAAACTCAGCAAATACAAAAGATTTCCTTCCCCTTCATGCCAAAGGACAATCACGGTCTTACCTGTCAGAACAGAAGGCCCCAAGTGGAACACCATTCAGGCAATTTCTTTTAACAACTTTGTTGAAGTATAATTCACGTATAGTCAGCTTATCCCAAAAAGAAGCTTTCTATGGAAAGAGCTCAGAATCTCAAGTCAAACAGGCCTAGTTCCTCCACTCAGAACTTACATGAGTCTCTTTCCTCCCTGTCGCGAGCCGGCGACGCAGAGCACTGTCCAGCAGTGTCTCAAACCTGAAAGAGCAGCGGGGTGGAGAAGGGGCAGAGAGAAAGGAAGGACGCCAAGACAAGAGTCTGATCAAGGCGGCGTTTATTGCCGGCAAGCGTCGGCCTTTTAAAGCAAAAAAACCACAAACTATTATGGGATGGGGTTACCAAAGTAACTGAAAGGTTACACAGGAAAAGAGCAAACAGGCTCAACAAAAACAACCCACCGTGGGTAGTAGTAACCCGGACAACCACACATCTAAAGGTCAGAGACAAGAAACTGTAACTTTCAGGAATTCCACAAAGGAAACACACCACCTGCTAAACTGGAGAAACTTAACACATATGGAGTTACTAAAGTTTACAATACTTACAACCAATACTCATGATCCCCACACCTCCCGTATAAAGTGAAGAAAGTAGCAGCGACCATCCTAACAGGTGTTCATTGTTTAACAAAATTACATCTACTCTGCGAGATACCATATTACAATGGTGCTCAATGCATATTTTTAAAAAACCAGAAAAGGGCCACCAGCACCCCTATTCAAGGCAGTCCCCAGCATGCTGCCCTGCTCTTTCTGGGAATTTACAAAATGAAACCTTAGGAAGAGTCCACCCTGAAACCCTGCTTGCCTAGGAGAAGTGGGCAGGTGCTAAAAAGACACATCTGCTAAAAGGAAATAGATTGGTTCCACTTTGCAACAGAGCTCCTTAGCAAAATTACAGGTGAAGATCTGGCCCCAGATGATTCAGGCTTAAAGAGGCCTAGGCAGAGAAAGGGACCTGCTTTTCCTGGCTGAAGTACAACCTGCAGCATTGATATTACCCCTGCTGTGGCACAACAGGGCATGAGCTGTCCAGAAGGACCACTCCCACCCAGCACTCCAGACACGGCCCTTGGACCTGAACGTGATGGGGGCTGAGGCCCTGAAGGCATAGTCTTTCTAGTCTGGCTATAATCACAGCTAATTGAATCTCTACAGATGCCAAAATTGGCTCTTGATTGAATTCAGGACTTCTGTTTAATTAATTATCATTCACCTGAACATTGCTGCTTCCCTTAGACTAATGGTTAACTATTTCCTCCCTTCTGAGATTCTTAGCTCCCGCTGAGCCCTGATCCTTATACAAATGAATAAATCTGCTTTCAGGAGAACTCCAAGTTTAGGTTTCAAAGGCGAGGAAGAATATCAAGAGTCATGGAAAGTGAAAAGGGAAGCCAGATGCAGTAGCCCATGCCTGTAATCTCAGCACTCTGGGTGGCTGAGTCAGGAGGATCAAAACTTCAAGCCTAGACAATTTGGTGACTTAGCACGAAGGCCCCAGTACCCACCCCCGAAAAAGTAAAAGGCACCCAGGACTGGAGAAGATACTTTCAAACCTGATAAGGCCTAGTCCTTCTCATCTTGTATGTAATTTGGAGAGGACTTAAATTTTTCACTTATACTGATACTGTTCATTTATTGACATGATGATAAGCTTTATAATTTATTCCATAGGCACTAATTTGTTGACTGATTTTTAACAACCAGCCTTCTAGAAAATTAAATGCATAAGTTTATTATATACTGTGCTGATAAAAAGAATGTGCTGCTCACGATTTACAAATACTAAAATACAATATCATCTATTATAATTTCAGTGACACAAAGTTAGTCTCAAAGCCTGCTATCATTGGCTTTTGCCACACTCTTATGTTCACAGACAATCCCTGATTGCATTTGATGAAGTAGTATGTGTTTGATATGTCTGTAGGTGTTTTCCTTTTTCTTAACAAGTGAAATGGAAGAAAAACAATGAAGATGTTGTGCAGACCTCACTTGTTTAATAACAACATGAAAAACTTCATTGATGACTCAGATAGATTTTCAAATACCAGAGACTATTTTCTCAATTTTTATGCTATTTAAAATGTAGCAGCTGTGGACATAATGTATTTTTAAGTTTCATCATCATTATTAACATGTCCTTCATTTTCTTTAATCTAGGCAATCATCAAGAAGGCAGGAAGGAAGGAGCGAGAGAGAGAAAGAAGTCCTTCGTGTATAAAGATTCCCGTTGTGGACAATTTCATGGCACGAATATGATGTCCTGTTAATATAATGTCCTGTTATAAAAGAAGCAGAAAGATGCAATGAAGGTCCTTTGTTGCCTTTGCTACCATGTGGGTGCCATGTTGTTTCTCCTCTGCGATGCCTGTTTTCAAATCCTGCCTTAGAGCCAGCCAATTATGAATTGAAACCTCCAGTGACTGTAAGGCAACCTTGTAAATTCTCTTACATATGTATATATATTGTGTTATATCTATTTCTCCAGTAGATACTGGCTGATACATTTCCCTAAACACAGAATGAAGATGACATTCATTAGAACATCAATTTATAATATATCCACCACAGATACAGTAGATACACATAATGCCAAGAGCACAGATAAGAGGAAAATGTAGCAAAATAATTAGGTTGCTGATGAATTTTGAATATTTACTTCTTTTTCTTTCAATATAATTTATCTAATTATAAGTGTATATAATGTTATTTTGAACAACGACTATGTGTAGTGACCAGTCACAGAACTCCAGCATACCTCCATGGTTTACAGAGCATAGAGTTGGAACCATGAGGACTGAGGAAGAAATGATGATGACGATGATTCAAGCTCTAGATGTGGTAATGAACAAGACTCTAGTCTGTCTCCCTTTAGAGAGAAGCCTAGCGCTTTCGTTTATATATGCAGATACATTATGGTAACCAGGGGTTTTGTTGTTGTTGTTTTCTTTTGTTTTGTTCTGAGAGGAGGCTTAGTGAAAACATGGGAAGAATGTGTAAATCTTGGGTAATGATAATAGTGAGTGAATAGGTATTTACTGGCATTGGCTCCTCTTTATAGAAATACTCTTCCTATTTAGAGTTCTAAATTGATGTGGGTGGAAGGCCCCCTCCTCCACTTCACAGCTAAACTAAGCATACATGCCCTAACTCTGTCCCTGGCACTAAAGTTGGAATGTGTGACCTAGGTTTAGCTAATCGCAACTCATCTGAGATGTGACTCTACAAAGACTGAGGCAAAGGCTCAAGGACAGTTCGAGATCGTTGGTGGGAACTATGGTGATAACAAAGTGGAGAGGGAGTCAGAGGGACCACAAGTCCCAGTAGTGACAGATCAGAAGTCACACAGAACCCCACTCTGATTCTCTAGTTCCGTGGTCTTTACTGGCTCCTACCAAATGGTTGAATCTGAGTATCTGGCCTTTCCATCAACTCTAATACTTTTCATTACATTTCTTTTTTGCTAAAGTTAGCCAGAATCCATTTCTGTTTTACCCCATCACAAGTCTTGTCTGTATAAAAATCTAGCATGTGTATATGTATTATGAGGGGGAGAAATTAAAAGAAATGTGTATATTTTGTGTTTTTGTACTTTGCAAAATCAAGTAATTAAAAGCCCTTAACTAGTTACAATTCTATCAATAGTATAGGAGGCTATCCATTCCTACAGTGGTGCATTGTTAATCATGTTAATCTTTGTCAAATTAAAATGCAAAAAGTGACACATTATTTTAATTTGTATCTATTATTAGTGTTATTAGTGAGTTTAAACATCTCTTCATATCTTTATTGGCCATTATGATTGTATTCTCTTTATCTCTGTATGTGCTTTGTTGTTAGGTTATTTGACTTTTCTTCTTTGATTTATAGAAACTATTTCCTTTGTCTATTAGATATTTTGAAAATACTGACTTCCTCTGGTACCTTTGCGATGCTGAACTGTTGGATTTTCCTGTAGTTAAACTGTCAATTTTTCTTGCTTTTGTTCCTCTCATAGCAGAGTCAACATTATTTTTCTGTTACAGATTCTGGATTCAGACTTCATGTGTTCTGGTTTTGACTCTGCCTCTTGTGATCTGCACACCTATTTATTTGCTCACTTGCAAAACAGACAGTGACCACATTTGCCTTTCAAAGCACTCAGCATTCACCTGACACTTAGTGATCAATATTTTAGTTATTATTCTCATTCAAATAATTCTGCAGTTTTTAAACATATGGACATCTATTCGTTCAACTGCTCTGCAATGAATTTTTATGTGTAGAATTGCATGAGAGTTATATTAGCTTCCTAGAGTAGTTCAAAGTATCACAGTCTGGGTAACTTAAAACAACATTTATGTGTTCACAGTCCTGAAAGCTGGAACTCCAAAATGAAGGTGTCAGCAGGGCCATGCTCCTTCTGAGACTTTGGGAAAAATCTCTCTTTGTATTTTCCTAGGTCTCTGGTGGTAGCAGAACTCCTGAGCTTGTAGCTGTGTGCTATGAGTCTCTGCCTCTGTAATCACAAGCATTCTCCCTAAATGTCTCTGTCTTTTCTTATTATTATAAGGACACCAGTCATAGTGGATTAAGGCCTAGACCATTGTATTCATCAACATTTTCCAGCAACATAGAATCAATAATATGTCAATAATCATAGGGTAGATAGATAGATAGATAGATAGATAATGATAGACCAATAAATAGGTAAATAGGTAGGTTTTTTTTTTGTTTTGGTTGGTACCAGGGACCAAACTCAGGACCTTGTACTTGCAACGCAGGCAGCAGAACCACTAAGCTAAATCCCTGGCCGGGTAGGTAGTTTTAAGGAGTTGACTAATGCAACTGTATGACCTTGTGAGACTAGAAACTCAGATTAGAGTTGATATATTTCAATCTTGAGTCTAAAATCTGTAGGGAAAGCCAGAGAGCTAGAAACTCTAGCAGGTTTTTTGAGGCACAATTCCTTCTTTTCTCCAGAAAAATGTCAACTTTTTCTCTAAGCCTTTGACTTATTAGAAGAGTCCTATCCACATTATGGAAAGTACTCCACTTTAGTTAAATCGCTGCTGATTATAAGGTTAATTACTGCTACAAAATATCTTCACAACAACATCTAGACTAGTGTTTGACCAACTAACTGGGCCTCATAGGCCAGCTAAGTTGATGCCTAAAATTAACCATTACAGTCCTATTCACAGGTACTATATACATATCATTTTGAATATATATAAGTATATACAGTAATTTTTTTAAAACAGATAGCTAGTTGTCCTGGCAATATAAATTGAAGAGTTCATCCTTTCCCTACATATTTGAAATGCTTATTCATATTCACGAGCTAAACACAGTCACTTCTTGTCATCTGTGGGAGGCTGTTTCCAGGACCTCCTGTGGATGGCAAATCTGTGGATACTCAAGTCCTTTATTTAAAACAGCATAGCATTTGCCTGTAATATACTTCTTCCCATGCACACAGTCATATCTCTTCTAATGATGGAGATCTAGTTTGAGAAATGTGTCATTAGGTGATTATGTTATTGTGCAAACATCACTGAATTGCCTTATATATGAATGTAATGGAGGTTACACAAACTAAGATGGCCACGGCCTCACTAGATGATGTGATCTTATGGGACCACCACCATCTAAATGATCTGTCTTTGACATCACTTAACTGTACTTTAAATTATCCTAGCTTACTCCCTTTCAGATCTATATTCGATTTTAATTCCTTGTTATTTCTTTTCTAATCCCAATTCTATACTGTACTGTTTTATTTATCATAGCTTTCTAATATATTATAATGATCAAGATTTTTATCTTTTTCAAATTTTACTTGACTATTCTTGCATATTTTTTCTTCCAAATGAAAATCCATTTGCTTAGTTGTCTAAATAATTCCTACTGGAGGACTTCTATTTAAACATGGTGTAATGGCCAAATGCTCCTGTTTCTCTACCTCATCAAACCCAACTAATATAAAAGTAAAGAAGGGGAGGAAAAAAAAAAGTATGTGCATCTAGATAATATGAACTGAAGAGAAGGCAATAGCAGCAGCCAGAAGTTTTAGAACAGCTTTGAGGATGGGAAGTAAATGAAGAAGCAGTAACAAATTTGACAGAGCAAAGGAAGATACATCCTTGTTTCCTGAAGAGATAACTGCAGACATAGGCATTTACCTGAGACATGGTGCATTTGGGGGACAAATTGCTCAGAAGTAACAGGTAGCACAGAAGGTGGAGTTCGGGAAGTGCAGATGGGATCCAAGTTTCTTCTTCCATTACAACCCTAAGATGAGATCAGAAGTCACTGGACAAATATAACTTTGAAGAACCAAAGTAAAGACTGTCAGAAACATAGGGAGAGAAAGGGTGGTCACCATCTGATGGAGAGAGAGCAGCAGGAAGCCAAAGAGGCAGGAACCCCCATTCAAGAGGGCTTTTAAGCAATTCTCTCTGCTGCCAGTCACAGCCCAAGGTGGACTGTACACCTCTGCCCCTACAAGACAGAAAAACAGGGGCTCTGGGGTACACCACAGGAAGAGTGGGAGCCCCACCAAAGAAGCCTAGCCTGACAGCTGAAAAGTCAGTGCAGCAGGTGCAAGAAAACAGCAAGTCATGAGAGTTCTCTCCTCCACATGATCCCTTCCACCTTGAGATTTTACCAGTTACACACCAGGGGAGCACAGTCCTCAGGAAATAGATGTGTTCTGAATTCTACCCTTACCCTCAACAGGCAAGGTCCCTGGCAAGAGGATAGAGTGGAGAAGAGCTCTAGCCCAGGGTAGGGGTGCCTCTCATTGCCACACTCCTTTCCTAAGCTCAACAGGAGAAGCTCCTTCTGGGGCCCAGGTTTGGACCTCCTCCTCAATAACACTTCCAACCAAAAAAGCCAGTGCCCCAGAGGAAAATGAACTCATAAGCAAAAATTACCAGGCATCTGAGAAGCATCACCATTATTTTTTTTAAAAAAGACAACAAACGGTACAACCAATACAAGATATATTAGAACTAATAGAACCAAGCAGATTAACAATTTAAAATAAGCATCATAAATGAGAAAAGGAGAGTTAATGGTAACATAAGCAAGGAGAGCCAAATAAAAACATTGAATTTTATTTTTAATCATTAAAATACAGAATTCAAAAAACTGATAGAACTTTCCTAGAAGACACTGGGAAGGAACGAAGAATTGGAAAGTGTAGCAGAATTTGAAACTATGAAGGATAAACTGCAAGTGTCATCATCTATATAATAGGAAGTCTTGAAGAAAAGGAAAAATGACAAAAGACAATTTTAAATACAATAACTAAAAAATTTCCAGGATTAAAGAAAGATGGGAAAAAAAAGAAAAAATGTAAATAGTCTTTGCAAATAGGGAAGGGTGAAGTGGGTGAGGGGAGGGCAGGAGTATGGGAAATAAACAAGAATCAAGATACATCATGTAAAGGTACAAGATTCCAATGATAAATGTAACTGCATTGTTTGCTTTAAATGTACCAATAAACTTAACAGGGGAAAAAAAAAGGAAGATGAAAGACTTCCAATTTAAAGCACTCATGGAGAACCAAATAAGATAAATATGATGACACCTAAACCTAAACATAGGGAAATTTTAAAATACAAGAAAAAGGCAAATTTCAAAAGCTGCTAAAGGAAAAGAAATAATCACTCATGAAGGAATAGGAATCCAACTGACATTCAACTCCTTTTCTAGAGTGACAGTAGAGACAGAAAGACAGATGCATAATACTTTCAAAATGCTAAAATAACTTCAAATTCAAATCTATATTCAGGGAAAAAATTAAAATAAGAGGATGCCATAAAATAATTTGAGGCATAAAAGTCCCAATTAATGCACAGAACTCTTTTAGAAAATACTGTTAGAGAAAGTGCTCCCCTAGAAGAAAAATAAACTCATACTACTATGAGATAAAAAGAAAATGAAGTAGATACATAACAGAATAGTTAATTTGAATATTATATAAGAGAGGAGGAGATGGTGGGGGTGGGAAAGAAATGGAGGAAGAAAGAGAGAAAGAGAGAGAGAGAGAGAGAAAATATATCCAAAACATTCACAACCACCTGAAAAGAACTTTGTGTGACAGCAATATGACCAGTGTTTTGTGAAAGAGAAAAAACTGTGACTAAGCAGAGAAGAAAGAAGATGAGAGTTTATTTACTTTGTTATAGAGAAAAATATAAATGTTGGTTGAGGTTGATAAGAATAAGCATAAATATTAATTTTAAAGTCAAATATACCTACCAATAACATAGAGAACAAAATTTTAAATTTTAAATACAGAAGAGCAGTACTATCCAATGAAATATATAATATGAGAAAGGCAAACTATAACGAGAGAAAAAAATAAAGTATGCTAAGTATAAATTATGAATAAGATAAATAAATCATAATATAAAATTAATTAAATAATTTGTGTTATGGATTGAATTGTGTCTCCTTAAAATTATAGACTGAAATTCTAAACTCTAGTACCTCCAATTATAGGTTTCTATGGAATACAGTTGTTGCAAATATAGTTAGTTAAGATGAAGTTATGTAAAGTAGGGCACACCACTCATGTAATGTGACTGGTGTCCTTACAGAAAGACAAAAGTACCATACAAAGAAAGAGACACACAAGGGGATGAAGGCAGAGATAGAGTTTTAGTTACAAGCTAAAAAGTATCTAAAATTTCTGGCAAACAACTAGAAGCTAGGGGAAGTCAATGAAGCATTGCCATAAAGATTTTAATGAAAGCACAGTCCTACTGTCCCTTTTTCAGACTCATGGCCTCCAAAAATGTAAGACAAAAGATGTCTGCTGTTTTCAGCAATCCAGAATATGGAATTTTGTTATGTCATCCACAGGAAACAAATACAATTTGTAAACAGATTAAACTCACTAATCAAGAGACAGATATTCACAAATTAGGTTGTTTAAAGCAATATCAAGTAACATTTTCTAAATGAAATATTCATAAAACAAAAAGTGACAGAAGCTATAAATAAAATGATGAAAAAGGTATGAGAAGCTATCTCAGCAAATAAGACTGTGGGAAAATTTAATATCAAAGAAAATTAAATTCAAGGCAGACGAAAATCATATAGAGAGTGTTTCTTAAAAGAAAACATGATCACATAGACAAGAATTATGAATACATGTGTACATAAAAACATAGCTTCAAATTGCAAAATAAAACATAACAATTGCAATTAGAAGTCTTTTTCCAGCCATCTGAGAAACTAATGGAATAAGCAGGCCAAAACTAAACAATGGCAGAGAAAATGCAGATGACTTTATCTATAAACTTGAGATAATAATTATATGAGAACTTTGCAATTACAACCAATAAGCAGAGAAAGGACATTTTTTGAGCACACAAAGAACATTTGAAAACTTTGCCACTTTTCAGACCACAAAGAGAGATTCGGTACCTTGCTCTCATCATCATTATACACATTATAATCTTAACACAATGGATTAAAATTATAAATTAGTAAGGAAATAGCATTAAAATCTTGTGTGTGTGTGTGTGTGTGTGTGTGCAAAGTGAATAATATAATCTTAATTCTTGGGCTATGAGGAAATTATAAAATATTTAGAAATGGATGATGAAGAGGAAAAATCCAGGCCAGATTTTTGGAAATGCAGCAAAAATAGCCCTAAGAATGAAATGTACAGCTCTCCATTAATTTACTAAAAAAAGAACTGTTAAAAACAACAGAGAATGTTAGAAAAACAAACATATAAACACAAAAAAATAAGAAAGAAAACAAAGATAAGGGTAGAATCCAATAAAACAGTGACTACTGCAGCAACAACTAAAAGTAGACAAGTGTAATCAAACCAAAAGTTTAACCTTTGGAGAGATTGCTAAAATGCAACAACCTCCAATAAAATCTCATCAAGAAAAAAAGACGCAAAAATATGAACTTTAAAATAAAAAAGGAAAATACCTGCACATAGTCATAAAAGAATGTTAGTACAACTGTTCACTAATAATATGAAAATGAAGACAACATAGATATATTTACAGAAAAAATATAAAATGTAAAACTGGTCCAAGAAAAATTTTAAATTTGGATAAACTGATAAGACAGAGATTGAAATTGTTAACCACAATGAAAAAGACACCTCTCCATGTGAGAGGAAAAAAATGCCCATAGGCTAGGTGGCTTTCCAATTTTTTTTTTTTTTAAATAAAGCACTCTTGTCTAGATAAAATTGTTCCAGGAAGTAGTAAAAAGTAAAAGCTACGCAACTCATTTTATCAGTTAGTAGCAGATTAATTCCAAAACCTAGTAAGAATAGTATAAGGAAATAAAACATCATTTTTACTTATAGATTCTAAAGTCTTAAATAAAATATAAGCCAACTGAAGTCAATAGCATATAATATGTATATATTATGATTTAGTAAGACTCATTCTCATAAGGTTAATTTGGCAACAGAAATTCATGAATAAGATCCACACACTAGACCAAGGAAGAAAAAAAAAATCAAGTGATCTTTCATGAGATCAAGAAAAAAATATTTGATGTAAATTTATTATATTTTAATGCAAAACCTCTCACTAAAATAAGAATAGCAGGTATTAAAGTTTAGATCAAGAATGACCACCAAAACTTCCATAGGTTCAAAGACAGGGCTTTGGAGTGTGATTGGATTACAGGGTACTAGAGCTGACATGTTGTTAGGAGGTGAGTTCTGGTTAGAGGTGGACCACTGAGGCCATGGCCTGGGAGGGTATATGCCTTTCCAGGCACTATCCTTTTCTGGCCATTCTGGCCCCCATGATAAGAGTGGCTGTACACCTGCCATGCCTCTCTGTTGTCCTATTTCTGCCTTGGCAGCCAGCTGACCATGGATTAAAACATGAGCCAAAATAAACCTCTCTTTGTGGGTGTTAGGTATTGTGTCTCAGTGACAAGAAAGTGACTAAGAGAGATGAAGGATTAATTTCCTTAATTTAGTAAAGGATCATACTCAAAATATAGCACAAATATCGTACTCGATGGAGATCAGAAATAACACAGAGGATGTCTACTGTCACCATTTGTAGATATCCTAGCTAATGCTATCTTTAAGAAAAGTAATAACAAAAGGTTTTAAGAATTAAATGAAAGTAATACAGCTTCTTTCATTTTCAAATTTTATGCTCATATATGAGGAACTGTAACGGATGCAAAGATAAACTGTCAGAGCTAATAAAAAGTTCAGCAAGGGAGTGGGTAAGACATCAACCCACAAAACTTGGTAGCATTTCTACAGACTTGAAAACACTAAAAATCAGAAAATTAGACATTATTCACTTTTAGAAAGAAATCATAATATCTTGGAAACAAACTAATAAAGAATGCATATGCTCCTAAAGACAGAGAAATTCAAAACTTGCTAGGTTTTTGTAAGCTTGCTTGAAGACATCAAGAAAACGAGAAAAAGTAGAAGTCTTAGCCAGACATGGTGGTACATATCTGTAATCCTAGCACTTGGGAGACTAAGGCAGGAGGATTGCCTCAAGTTTGAAACCAGCCTAGGTTACATGAGTAAAAGGCCAGCCTAAACTACATAGTGAAACCATTACTCAAAAACCCAAAAAGAAAAAAATAGTACTTTAATTTGTAGACCTCTAATTTAGCTGAAAGACTTTAAAGATTTGAATAGCAGCATACCATTTTCCCATATATACTAGTTTAGAATTGCAAAGCTGTCTCTATTCACCTCATGTAAATCTATAAATTCTGCGCAATTCAAATTAAATTAATGCTGTTTATGGACACGCACATTTATAAACATTATAAATAGATTTTTTTTTCTAAGTATGTTGAGAGAATAAAGAGGAAAGGATGTTTCTCTTGTTTAATGTCATCGTAATCCGACCTATACATAACCTTTTCTGGTCTGGAGAGAGAAGGATCAAAAACCTACCCAATATTGGCTAGATGGTAAAAATCTATTTCAATATGCATTGCTTCTCTAGAAAAAGAAACTTTTCATTGACCACAAAAACGCCCTGAAGGTCTCTCTTTGGTCCTGTAAGCACCCTGCTGAGTACCATGTAGGCATCCAGGAATCTGTGGAAAGCCTACCTGTTTAGTCACTGATCCAAACAGCTGGAGATGCACCATGCTGCTCCTCCAGCTTCTCTCACATTTTGTGTTTTAAGAGACCTCAGAGAGAAGGTGATACTTAACCCAAAGATGACCATTTCCCTATAAAACAACTTTTAAGGGCCTGAAATTTAGCTCAGTGATAGAGCTTGTACAAGGCCCTGTGCTTGATCTCCAATACTACTAAAAGCAAACAAAAGCTGGGTGTGGTGGTGCACACCTGTAATCCCAGCACTCAGGAGGCTGAGGCAGGAGATCGCTGTGAGTTCGAGACCAGCCTGGGCTACACAGTGAGTTCCAGGTCAGTCTCAACTACATAGTGAGACCTGTCTCAAAAAAACCAAAAAATTAAAAATTAAAAATTAAAAAAAATTTTTTTTAAATCAGACACTGCCAGCTATTAAGAAAAAGAAAATACTTTAGATAGCAAGAACTATCCCATTATTCCTCCAATCAGCAATATAGCTAGTAGCATAGAAACAAGTTTCCAAAGAATATTTTCTCACTTAACCATGCAGTCTAAGCATGGTAGTGGGACATGCCAGAAGATCCATGGGGTAGAAGAAAACAATATGAGAACTTCCTATCCTTTAGAACAATTTCACTTTATAAATTTTCTATAAAAGCTTTATAACATATGTATTAGTACGAATGTAGTCTTATGTAATTTATTAATAAATACATAAACAAAAACTGGCATAAGTGTTAAGAAATGTCCTACTGATAGGCTACCACAGACCTCCTTCCACAAGAAAGCAACATGATTAAGTGGACAGCATAGCTCTAAACTTCAAACAACATGTACATGGTTTGCATTTTAACTTAGCCCACCAAATGGGTAGCCTGACAGACAGAAAGAATATACATTCTAAATAGTCCATTTTGAAGTCACCCCTCAAACACATAAAACCCCAAATCCCAAGCTGTAATGCACTTCTGTCTTGAAGGCCTGTACTCCCTTCCAATTGCATACTTTCTTCTGCCTAATAAACCTCTTTATGCCTTTCAAAAAACAATTCACTGGTAGGAAAGCATGATGGAAAATTGTGGAGACTCCAGTATCAGTAGACAAACAGACATCCATAACTAACAGTCCAGTTTATGATACCCCCAAACCAGTCTTGGTGGCCACCATCTTGGCCGGTACATGGGATGTCAAGGTCTTATGTCCCCAGACCATGGTCCAGCTCCACTATCTCTGGGTTGCTTCATGCCAGTCTCATGCCCAGGGGAACTTCTGATAGAACAATTAAGAGAAATTAGGGAGTCTGGAGCAGAGATTGGAGACAGAGTTGGTTTTTCCAGGTCACTGTCTCATTCATGTGCAACAGCCCAGGATCTAAAATTAGAAGCACCATCTGCAGTTTGTCTACTGAAGTTGAGACTTGGATGAGTCCCAGGACAGGCCCTGCAGACTGGTGGCCATAGAGATAGCACCGGCCTACTAAGGTGACCCTATCTGCTAATGGTCAGGAGCCAAAGCAGAGATGCTTCTATGGCCAGAACCCTCATGGTTAGGGAATCAGGAGTGAGTAGGACCCTTGGCTCTTTAGTCAGACAGATGTTTCTTCCTTTTTGGTTTAGAAGCTAGAGGCAGTATGAAGAAAAGACAGAAGACTAGAAGAGGAGTTGAGAGGGAGTCTCCATTATCAAGGGCGGCTCCAGAGTAAGGTGACTACACAATGCCATTTTTTTTTTCTTATGGGCTTTCTGAGTCTGACACATGGTAGGACTCAAAAACACTACATGAAAGAGAGAGAGAAAAATAATTTTGTTAGTGCAAACCTTAGAACTGGACTATAAGGAGAATTTGAATTATAACTGGTTCCAAACCTGGAGCTTGTTATTTAGGAATGAAGGGAAAGATCCTAGAAGCATCTTTAGTCTTCTTCTTTGTGAAAATCTGTAAGGACAGGAGGGAAAAGAAATCACAGTGTCTCTTTTTCATGTAAGACATGGAGGAGAGGGTGAGGAAATTTGAAAAGCAATAGGGACAGATAAGGGCTTTTGCTTACATTAAAGAAAAAGGACAGAATTTGAGATGCCCAGAGAAGGGCAGGCACTCAGAAGTGGGGCTTCCTTTGGCTCCATTCCTGGAAGTTCAGCTTCTGAAGAGAGAGGAGACTAAAATACTTCACATGAAACAAGAGACTAAAACCAGGAGGTTTTTCTTTACTGCCCTGTTCCTCTCCTACATGGAAAAAGCAGCCTAGAAAATATCATTGACAAATGCTGTCTGTAGTTCATCTCAGTAGAATCTGTACCCTCTTGACACAGTGTCAACCAGGCCCTGGGATCTGTGACAACCACCATCCCCCTGGGGGCGAACTCTAGGTGACCACTGTCAGACCAGGGTCTGAAATAGGTGCCCAGCAGCCTGGGGGGAGATATATGTAAACTGTCAGGCAGGAAAGGGTAGGGAGGAAGGAGAAAGGATGAAATACAAGAGATTAAACCTCTCACTCCAGGTATTTCCTCCATAGAAAATTGTTTATCTTTTGATAAAATTATGCAAAAGTGTCTTACTTCAGTCCTGGGAATAAATTTTTTAATTATATTTTCGATTGGTTATTGTTGTATGCAGGAATGTCACTGTTGTCATGGATTTATCATCCAGAGAACATGCTAAAATTTGTATTAGTTCTCATAGTTTGTAGATTCCCTTGGATTTGTTTCATACACAATCAAATCACCTACAAATAAAGGGAGGTTATGTTTTTTAACCTTTCTTATTTATTTTTCTTATTTAATTTTGTTAGTTGTAGAACCAACAGTTGTCCTGTTTTATTCCTAGCTGTAATGGGAATACCTTTATAATTTCACAATTAAGTACAATGCTTACTGTAAATCTTTTAGAAATAACTTTTAGAAATAATAAATATCAGGTTAGGGGAAACTCCATTAATTGCTAAAAGTTGTGTTTTTATTCATCTTGAAAAGGTGTTGAGTTTTATTAAATGCTTTTTTGCATCTATTTGAAAAATGAAAACTTTCTTTAATCTATGAAAATGAGATATTGTCTAAATACATTCTCCATACAAATGTGGTTTAGGAATAATGTTTCTCAAAGCTAGATGATAGAAGAAAGTGTGTTTCTTATTTTTATTTTTGTTTGCATGTTTGAAATATTTTACAATGTAAATATTTAAATTAACAAAAGAGAATGAAACTAGTTATGCTACTAGTTCTAGTTCCATCAAGTATATTTATAGTGGACAACTGACTTTAAAAAAAATATTCAGTACCTATTCACTTCCTCCTAGTAACAGCACCCTGATTTTAATATAAAGCTCAAAACTTTGGTCCACAAGGCTTTGGTAAAATTGACCTTGCCCACCCCATCGGAAGGGGCATTGTATTCTCCTAGCCATAGTGTGATAGTTAACTGTAGTATCAACTCGAATAAGAAGATTGGTTTAGGACAGTTTTGAACATGGGCGAATGATTGACTTACTGTAGCGAGAAGACCCTACCTGGGTATGGCTGGAACCAACCAATAAGCTTGTAGTCTGGGTGGAATAGAAAAGGGAAACAAGGTAGTCTCCTACTTCTTCAGGGGAGCTCTAGTCTTCACCATCCCCCTTTGATGTCTATCTCCAGGCTTCCAGCACAGACTTCAGCATTCCAGTACATTCTCTTCAGCTTTCCAAGGTAGATTTGCACAGAATTCTGCAATGAGCTCCAGGTCTTCCACCTTTGAATGGATCATCCAGCTCTCCAGCACATAGATGGCCTTTTTGTACTCTTTCATACCTGCCTCTATATAGAGATAAATGATAAATAAAGCAGGAAAGAGATGGAAATAAACAGGGTCCTGGTCCTAATTAGAGTTCCTGCTTACAAAGTGTTCAGTCCCAGGAGCTGATATACTCCCCCTTTTGCATTAGCCAATTTCAGTCTCATGATTATCTTACCCATAAGCAGGAGTCCTAACTGACCCAACCTCCACCTCTCTTTTCTTTCTTCCTCACTGGTTCCTTTTCTGCCTGTAACCAAGCCCAAGTGTCCCAATATCATGATACCTCAAACTCTGCCACTTTCTCCAACTATTTGCCCTTGCATTTTCTTCTAAGAATCACACCTCTTATGTTCACTTCCTCAGTAACTTATCACCTGTTACAGACTTTCCCCTTAGCACAGGCCACATCAACCCATGTCACCTCTATAGCAGTTCCTTTCAAAGTGTAGCCATGGACCACTCCCTTGGGAATCATGTGAGAAATGGGGTTAAAATGTATATCCCTGGGCATGGTACGGACCAAAGGATATGAGATGGTCCATAAATATGGAACTCATCAATGCATTCCATGTAATTTTTAAACACACTAAGGCCTAAGAATTATTGCATTAGAGAAGTTGCTCCTCAAAGCTTCTTATTTTTGTTGGAAAAAGGTTAAATTTATCCAGCTGCCTTGGCCTATCTGCAGTACATGACAGTTTTTTAAATTCCCCCTTCTTTTGATTGTCTCTTTGCAACAATCTGCATTGTCCCCCACATTTGCACGTGTTCTTCATAAGCCTTATGTGTGCAGTGAACTGAAGCCCTTAGGAAATCCAGTTTGTAAAGTAAGGGCTAAAAATGTGAATTAAAGGTCTTATCTGATCCTTTTCTGCCTGACTGAGGAATCATAGTCTTACTTGCCTGTTTCCAGCTTCCTATATATTATTACTCTTCCAGTAGTAGATAATTTGAGAGTCTTCCTATTCCAGCCTCTGTATGTGCTGAGTTTGTTATCACATGTGGTCCAATCTCACCAAGAGGAACACAGTCAGCCAAGGTTATAATCTTTTGAAAATTTTGTCATCACTCTGAGGCCTCCACTTCCTTGCCTTTAAAGTAAAGAGTCTGAGTAAGATTTTTAAGTGATCTTATGGCCCTAACATCCTTTGGGTCTGGGTGCCAAAGCTTTAAGTAGTTCCCAGTGAGAAAAAAATAAGGATGGGACAAACTCTGACCCTGACCTGCAAGTGAGTAGGCTGATCCCAGATTTGTCTCAGAAGAATATTCTGTGACCTAATGAGTGGCCAGATGAGTTGAATGCTGTCCTTTTCACACACTTTTACAATGGCTATCTTGACCCATTTGATCTTTTCTAGAGATGCATGCAGTAAGTAAATAATTTTAAAACTTAGTTTTCTTATTCTAAATTGGAAAATGAAAATTTTAGAGTATTTCTATTTACAAAACACTGTAATTCATTAATCAATTATTCATTTATATTGCATGGACTAAAAATAAAATAACAAAAATAATTTATGGGAATACTCTTTGAATTAGTTGAAGTGACTTGAATATCTATAAAGAAATTAATTCTAGATTTAAAATTTCTTTCACTTAGATTTTTCTTCAACCTAAATATACTGGGATTTTAAAGACCTAACTATTTCTATGAGGATATAAGCACAAAAAACTGTTCCACAATGAAAGAAATATGCAAAACAATAATTTTTTTAACTAAGTGGTTCTCATTCTTTAGTTAGGACTCAACACCAATGGTATGGTTATTGTATAAAGATTTGTCTAATAAAACATGTGTTCATTAGTACCATGAACCTCCTTGCTAAACCCTCCACCCAACAAATGGACATGCACATCACCTTGCTGAATTTCCAAATAACATTGTTTGATACTTTGAGAAACTAATACCTCAAAGAGCTGGGACTAGAGGGTCCATTTGACCCAGCCATCCCTCTGCTAGGTATCTTTCCAAAAGAATTAAAAGAATCATATCACAGAGATATATGCACACCTATGTTTATAGTGGCACAGTTTGGAATAGCTAAAACTTGGAAACAGCCCATTTACCCATCAGTTGGAAATTAGATAAAGAAGATGTGGTTTTCTATAAAATGGAATATTACTCAGCCTAAAGAATGAGAAATTAGATTTATTCATAGGAAAATGGTACATATTGAGGATATACTCCTAAGTGAAATAAATAAGTCACACATGTAAATACCAAATAGTTTCTCTGGTGTGAATAAACTATAATAGTACATAAAATCCTAGTGATATAATGAACAATGTGAAATAGGAAGAAAGGGGCTAATGGTGTAGAGAAAGTGAGAAGGGTAGGGGAAAGCTAATAAAGGGAAAAATATGAGAAAATGAAAAAATGGAAATGAACTGTTTGTAAAGGGGGAGGGGAGGAGGGGGTAAAGGAAGGGCAGGGAAAAGGGGAAAAAATGAGAAACAAGACCTGTCATGTAAAGGTACAAGATCCCAATGATGAATGTAATTGTACTGTATACCTAAAATGTACCAATAAACTCAATGAGGGAAAAAAAATAATAATAAAGTCTGTTAGCAAATTATTCTAAAGGTTACATCCACTTTGTGTTCATTATTTTTCATTATTTCCTGACTCAAATAACAAAAAAAATTTGGGGATATTCTCAACAACTTATGCTATAAGATACAGTCTTAAAAGTATTTAATTGCTTAAATTTTTCATATTAATATCCCATAGGTAGCAGTAATTCACTTCCAACTTACTTGAAACTAGAGTTTTCCTTTAAGGCAATATCTAAAAGTTGTAAAATTCTAATCTCTAAAATTCACTAAAACCCCTACTTTCCTCTTCTTACTTTAAATTTAATATAAAATGAGCTTAGAATATACACTAGGGTAAGAATGTAGTCTGGACCAACGGAAGTGCTGTATATGTCCCCTTGAATTGCCATAACAAAATATCACATACTGAGAGTCTTAAACAACCAAACTTTATTGTTCTCAAAGTTCTAGAGGTTGGACAATCCAATATCAAGGTGCAGCAAGGTTCATTTTCTTGTGGCTCTTACTAATAACCACCTTCTTGACATGTCCTTCCATGACAAAAGGAGAAAGAGGACAAGACATCTAGTATATTTTCTTATAAGAGCACTAATCCCATCATGAGAGCCCCACCCTTGTGATTTTATCTAACCCTATATATCCCAAAGATCTATCTCCAAACACCCATATTGATAGTTTATATTTTAAAATATAAACTTGGGAAATGAGGACCTAAGCATGTAATCATCATGTGTTTTTTAACATTCAGTGAAAACATATTGCACATTCACAGCAAAAACAAAACCAAACCTTAAATGTTTTCAATAACAG